GTACAGTGATATACATTAAAGACTTAGATACCTATGTTTAGTGATATACATTAAAGACTTAGATATCTATGTACAGTGATATACATTAAAGACTTAGATACCTATGTTTAGTGATATACATTAAAGACTTAGATATCTATGTTTAGTGATATACATTGAAGACTTAGATATCTATGTACAGTGATATACATTAAAGACTTAGATATCTATGTACAGTGATATACATTAAAGACTTAGATATCTATGTTTAGTGATATACATTGAAGACTTAGATATCTATATTTGGTGATATACATTAAAGACTTAGATATCTATGTACAGTGATATACATTAAAGACATAGATATCTATGTACAGTGATATACATTAAAGACTTAGATATCTATGTACAGTGATATACATTGAAGACTTAGATATCTATGTTTGGTGATATACATTGAAGACTTAGATATCTATGTACAGTGATATACATTAAAGACTTAGACATCAATCAAGTCCACCACAGAATGCATGTAGCACTTAGTTATGCAATTTTGTGCTTTAAAGTGAGTAGTTGACTATCTATCAAACCAACAACCTTACTGATACAAGGCTGACACTGAACCATACCCTTGTATCAACATCTAAGTTGTCTAATATCAAGTCAAGTGTTAGTTCATGTAAAAATATATATAAAGGCCATTTATTAGAACCAGGTTAGAGCAAGTTGTAGGATAGTCAAATATCTTGATTCCTATGAAGTTTGCCTTGGTATCCTTAGAGAAAAATAAATTTTCCATACACTATTCCTATAGGCCATCAGACTAGTTTATTGTTTTGGGAGTGTGCAGTGAATGATTGGCAAAAACCAGTCATTCACTCTGAAGCTAAAATAAAGGCACTGTTCACTGCTTCTGTTACTGAATATTCATGTACGTGCTCCTGTTAATAACCAATTTATGGGTAATGTTGATACCACAGATTATGAGTTAGTGTTCATCAATGAGTTTGTTTTCAGACATTCACATACAGGTTAGCAATTTCATCCAATTTTTTTTTGAAACGAGTGTCTCTCAACTCTAAAGTTCCAGCTCTGTCTATGGATACTTCAAATCATTATGTCAGACAGACATCATATATATATGGTCACATTATCTACAAACACAATGTGTTCAACATACTTTTTTAGGAAGACAAAATCCGGGTAATGTATCCTCCTTGACATCATCCGCTGCAAACTTGACTGCTTGGCGTACTGAGGAAATGTGCTGCAGTTGTTCTGCAGCATTTAGTCTCTGTTGGAGAAAACAATATCTGTCATTATTCTGATGAAGAGCTACGTCACAGAATGTTCTATGTTGCTATATGACGTATATCACAGTACCATGCATTTCTATGGGCTCTAAATGAATTGGTGTGGAATGCCAGTCAAGAGTCAGTGAAAAAATTCAAGAAAATAGCACAAACTCAACTATGAGATGAGACGATCGTGAACAACCAAATTGATATATGTTGCATGTGTTGGTGTTATCTTGTTACACTGTACAGGAGACTCTCAATGTGACATTTTGGGTACTACTTTATTGCATGCATCAGAAAACATACATTTGCAATGGTGTTATATGTCATCTGACCACCCAGGTGTATTGATATGTAAAAAAGTAGTGCTGTTGATGTAAATGAAAATGGCGGAACAAAAGAAGTGAAACGTTTCTTAGATGTTTCGTGTGATTCTGAATCAACACATCACAATCAATGTACAGTTTGTTGACAATTTTTGGCTGTTGTTTTCAATGATTGTGGTTGCCAGATGGTGAAAATGTTTGGCTGTTCGCTCCCAAGGATATCTACAAGTTGAATATTACTATTGCCACTATAGTAGTCAGTAATGCGGTGTTTGATTGATTTGTACATGCACTGCTTTAATAAAAATCAACTTTGAGTAGTGTAATACTTAATGAATAGTCTGTCCAAATTCAATTGAGGGCTCTGTTTAGGAAGAATTCTGTGGTATATATGCTGGGAAGTGAAATATACATCACCTTGACAACAGCATTGAGGGCACTCCAGCTGAATTCTAAAACCTGTTGATCCTCATCATTAAAGAGTCGAATAAGACCAGTGAAAAGAGATGGTACAAACAAGGTAAGATCAGCTTTGCTTTGAGTACAGTAAGCATTGAGTATGGTGACTGCAGCTTTCCTGGTGCCCACTGAATCATGCTTGGTAGCAACCAACAATTCATCCACAATAGTCCGTACACCTAGTTCATCCGTTACAGAAAGAACTAAAGTCTGGCAGTGAATAAGATTCTGGAAATAAAACAAAAATAGCTACATTACTGAACAGCGCTAGGAAACAACTAAGTTAAAATTAACCTACACAACTGAAAATTTCAGCCTCTGAATAAGAATTTACTGCCTGCCTGAATGGCTGACGACAATTTAATTTTAGACAAAAAGCAAACGAGTGAATCAGTTATTACACAATTCTCACGAACATAGATTTTCACAGTAAAATATCCATCACTGAACTAAACTGAAGTCAGAAAGCCATGATGAAATATATAGTTTAGGAAATACATTTATTATTTATGATCACTTTAGCATCTCTCAATCATAGTGTAATTTTCCTGACACAAATGAAATAATTTTTTTCTTATTCCAGCATCCCATTTGATCTTCAGATGGCGACTGGTCAGAGTTGCAATAGGTCTCATTTATCCTCCAGTGTCTTACCTCACTTTCTTTATCTGAACCAGCACTTTCATTAAGAGCACCAAGTAATGCAGGCAAGATTCTAGATAGATGTTTGGTTAACGCCGCTCCAGCAACTTCAGATAACACAGCAAGTGCTCGTATATTCACTGGAGAAGCTGTCAGCTGAAATATCGGGAATTAAACAAATCAATAACATTATATTGAACCGTTGCCAAGCTCACATTATAGTTGATGCAATAATATTGAGTATCAGACCTGCCAAAGGTATTATGAGGAACACAAGACTAAATCTGACGGGAGGATGTGCAGAAGTAAAGAATTGTAAGAACAAGATATAGATGACTTTAGATATCATCAATAATAAATAAAAGTGGATATGTTTTATTGTATTTTATCATTGGAAAAACAAGTTTTATTCATATAAAACTTGCCCAGTTCACATGCAGGACTAGTTGCAAATAAAGTACATTAAAATATTTGAGGAGTGAATGAAACAGACAATAATTACAACATTATGTTTTGCCTTTGTACTAAACAAAATCAGTGTAAGTGTATCAGTACAATAAATGGCAGGTCAATTTTATATCAAATCTTGAATATTGACATTGATCAGTAACCCATCATAAGAGCTGTATTTGAAAAATAGGTAAAGTTCATAACCAAGTTTTAATAAAATGAACTCGGGCATGTTCAAGACTTAGTGATGATACATTTTTGTATACTGTAGTGATAAACCGTACTTATTCGGGTAAGAGCCCATGCCTGGGCAAACGCCCACCCCCTACTTTTGACACAATAAAGGAGTTGAGGTCATATCCGAACACACGCCCAGGGGGTCTTTTTCTACACAAAAAAAAAACTATTTTCTATTCGTTGACTGTGGTTGTATTAACAGTTGACTTTCTTGAAGACTGTCGTGATACTTATAAAAAATGTTAATTGCGTAAAACAAGGGGTGAACGCAAAATTGCTGTGACAGCTTTCTGCCTTCAGGGCAGCACGTTCTGAATCATAACAGTCAGCAAGTCTATAAAAATATACATTAAAGCAGAAACGGTAGTTCTCTTTTTAAAATATGTCGTGGCCCTAAAAATGGTTTGTGCTTCCTTAGTAACTTAGAAACGATTCAGGCAAATCGTAAAAGGAGAGCCGCAAGTGTCGCACTTGATCGGCTTTAGCGCTGTCGACAATGAAACCAATGTTGCAATATTGTAGCAACCCGTACCTGGAGAGTGGTTGAAATCACGTTATTTTGGCTTTATAAAATATTTTGTAGCAGCTTGCGAATCCATAACTGGGGTCAGCAATTTTGAAATGTCACGCCGAAGACTGCCAACTTTTTTACCATCTTTCATCACCGTCATGAAAACATTCTTCTGTCGTTGGATAAAAAAAAACTTCCTATTTCAAGTCCACCGCGATATCCATATAGTGAGACATTCTAACCGCCGGAACTTGCTGAATGATAACTTTCACCGTGATTAATAAGCGTTGAGTCTGATAAAAAAAGCAATGTCACGATTTGACCTTTATGATGAAATACTAGTAGTGATGTCATTATTAGCCAATCAGTAAAGCAGATTGCTAGACTGTAAACAAAAGCATCGTGTGCCATCGCAGCAGAGCGACCCCATTTTTCTTGTCTCTTTATTATGATTTGATATGAATGAAAAGTGCCAAGCTGACAGACTGCGAAATCCGTGGATTAAAAGTGCTAAGTCCAAATTGTGTGGGACGATATCGACGAACTTCAGGAATAAGTTGTAGGGATTTTGTTCGATGGCTAGTGACACCGACTTGGACATTTGAGGGTTTTAAGTTTGACGAAGATGACAATGAACGTACAAATAAAGATCTGAGAAGTTTTTTTCAAACATCTATGAATTTTTATAATTTTTACTGTGTAAATTTGTAAATTATTATCGATCTTGTATGACGGTTGATGCGTAATTTGTCGAGACCGGAAATCATTTTACGCAGTTTAACCCCTGACATTTTAATTCATTTTGAGTTCACGCGTATTGGGTGTGTTTGTCGGCGGGAAAATCCTAATTCAAATGATTCCTCACTGTCGATTTTTATTATTTCTGGTTTTTTGTCACATTATAAGCAATACATTATTTTTGTTCTACTTCTAGTGTTGCATATTGTTCATTTATTTCCGTTGCATGTTTTCATTTGCCGTTCTATTCCCTGCCGCAGTTCCCTGCGTGTTGCCGATTTTCGCGAATTTTCGGGTTTTTTTGCCGGGGATCTCCTGGCAAACGCCCACTCCTTCTTTTTGGCAATTTTCCATGTTCAAGACCCTGGGCTTATACCCGGATAAATACGGTAACACAACAATGTTTACAGAAAATTATCCAAACCACAGCCTACCTTTGGTACAAGATATGGTAATACAACTATACTTTTGACAGCCATGACTTCACGTAAACCATCAAGTGCATAGGGTCCAACTGTTGGATCATCAAGACTGTCTAACAATGGTGGAAGGATATCGTCTAATGCTTGGTATCCTGCAAAACAAGGTGTACAACAAATTACACATGACTGTTCGATTCTATACTAGCACATCAACATTGCATGAATAGGTTTGAAAAAAAGTTATTTTAACCAAAAATTAACAAAAACATGCTATGCATGTAACCATAACAATATGCTAAATATACAAAATTGGAAAGTATAGTTACCATTAGCCATAGTGACCTAATAACCAATATATTAGCACAAGGGGCCACCATTGTACATTTTTAAATCTTCTTTTCATTATGAAAAAATATGCATCAAAGCCACAATAACACTTTTCAAAACATCATTCTTGTCTATGTAGAATTTTCAAATTTGATAAATAGCACATTTTTAAGCTGTTCTATAGTCAGTAAACCAATAAATTAATATAATCCAAACAATAGACTCACCTATTGTGTTGTGCAGATTATCAAATGTTTTGGCAGCAGCTTGCCTGACGTCAGGAAGCGGGTCAATCAATGCCTTTCTAACTGTGGGTACTAAACTGTCCACATAAAGCACCACCTGTTCTTTACTGGTAGAACTCATAATTTCACTGAGTCCTACGCACACACCTTGTCTTTGATCTGGCTGGGGAGAGTCTAAACCCTTCTCCAGTATAGGAATGAGGTCTGGTAAAACGCGATCTCCAAGTTTTCGTACCAAATCTCCAAGTGTCCGTGCAGCAACCTGAAATAACACCAGATATAGTGAATGAGTTAATAGCATGAACTGTTGACAAATAACATGTGACAATACAGATACACCAGATATAGTTATGAATGAGTTAATAGAATGAACTGTTGACAAACAAGTCATTGAAAATGACACAGTCCCCGTTAAGTTCTCTTTGTGCTCGTCATATTAAAGCGGAGGGGTTGTCGCGAGCGTGTCCTTGAAACTTGAGTTCCAAGTGGCGTATACAACAGATTGTTTATTTACATCAAAACACTTGTTTCGTGTCATAGTAATATAGCCAAAATAAAAACAGCCGTTATTCAGCCATCTTTGATCTGATTATGAAACACACTGATATGTATGATGTATGTGCCAAATACGAATGAAAATGGTACATAAATTGTGGAAATATAGTAGTAAGGCCAAAAAGTCAGGTGGCTGTCAATCGGCCATCCTTGACCAGATTTTGAAACAAATTGTCATGGACATGCATCCTAACATGTATAAAGTACATGTATGTGCCAAATTTGAATGAAAACTGACAGAGCACGTCCAAGATACCGCATAAAAAAACAAAAACAAGATGCCTGCCAGTCGACCATCTTTGATCCAATTGCGAAATAAATCGTCATGGACATGTATCCTAACATGTATAATCTATGTACCAAGTTTGAATGACAACTGACAAAGCATGTCCAAAATACAACATTTTCAAAAAACAAGATGGCTGCCAGTCGGCCATTTTGAATGGAATCGCTAAACCACTGCATGTGCATATGTCCCACATAAGTACTAGCACATGCAAAGAATGACGGAATCGGTCCACAGGATTCTGAAATATGACTCCGGACGGACGGACGGACGGACGCACGGACGCACAGACGCACGGAGACCGAATTATAAGTCCCCGTCCGAACGGGGACTAATAACATGCGACAATACAGAGACACCAGATATAGTGAATGAGTTAATAGCATGAACTGTTGACAAATAACGTGTGACAATACAGACATATAGTTGTAAAGTGTCTATATTTGACATAATTCAGTAAAGTATTCAGGGGTATCACAAATTCATTTAATAGCAGGCCATCATCCTGTAACAACAGATCCAACAGACAGTGCGAAGCGCTGCAGCAAAACTGGTGTTGGTGGTTGGAGGGGGGGGGGGGTGACCAAAAAGTAGACTGTGGATTTGGGCTTATAGCCGGCCATATGGTGGAGTATTAATTTTTTATTCTTCAATATTGATATACAAAATCACCTGATTCTGTGCAGTTGATTGCTTCAGGTAGTATTGAGAATAGTACATGAGTTGTGCAGAGGTTGTGGAAAAAACCCACTCAAAAAACACAAATGAGCTGTGCCAAATGTCATTATTTTATCATCAGCATGCCAAGTTTGAATAATATATGAGACAGAATTTCTGAGGAAAATTTTAGGATGACAAAAAATGATTTATTTAATGCTAGAACAGCAGTGAGCCTATCACTACTATAAAATGTTGAGATCCCCCTCTGTGCTCCTGAAAATATACATACTGTATTTGCTCTATTAGAAGTGCATTTCTAATAAAAGCACATATAAACCATCTACCACATTTATTGTATAATAACATTAAAATATTAAATATTTTAACCATAGAAACACCTCTGTAATTACATAAGTGTATGCGCTACTAAAAGAACAAATAAAGAATTCCAAAAATAAACTGGTTTACATAATACATAAAAGTTGAAGTCATACCTGTCTTTTGTCGTAGCTAGTACTAGCAAGACAACCCAGGAGTAGATTGAACAGCGTAGGGAGAATAGAACGAAGTGTTTTCGGAGTATTCACGACAACCACTTTCCATACATGCAAGGCTGCTTGTCTTACCAATAAGGCTGTATCTGATCTACCCATGTAAAGTCCAGCCAGCACTCTGTTACGCCGGTCTGATCCAAGAATTTCCATAATTGCCTGCATAACGATGTGGGTGTATGATGTATTTCATTCAGGGAAAAAAATGCATTGTACATGGGTATCAATATATTTGTCTATACTCTTAATTCAGAAGAAACTATTTCAAACTGTTGAAACACATGGCATGAATAATTCATTTGTCTAGAGTTTGTTGTTGTTGTTTGTTTGTTTGTTTGTTTTGTTTTTGTTTGTGTGTTTGTTTGTTTTGTTTTGTTTTGTTTTTTTTGGGGGGGGGGTAATTTTAACAGCAGTTTTATTGTTGATAATTTGGAGACCACAAGTTATAAATGTCGGACGATACTTCTGTATTTATCTGAAACATCAGACACCGCAAACAATAATGCTGTGAAATTTAATGTCTCCCAAAATATGACTCATTATTCAAAACATTGCCCAGGGTAATCTTGCGGATAAATATGGGAGTACATAGCTAATGTATAATGACACAAAGTGAGTAAAAAGTTGCAGTAAATGTAAATCAATTAGATCAATTAGAAAATCTTGGTTTCAATAAAGCAACTTACTTGAGTTGATCGTTCGGTACCAAAGTTATCGTCCTCAGCTCCCTCCGTCGTCATCTTTCCAGTCACACCCGTCAAATGAAACAACAAATCACCAAGTAACTGAACTGAGCTATATCGAATACGCCAGTTCTCATCAAATAATCCTTTTTCTAATTGTGGTAGAAATAGCGTAATAGCAGTCTGTGCGTACATACTAATCATGCGCTGTCCCGCTAACAGCGCCGTATCTCGTAGGTATTCATTCTCGTCTGCAAGAGACTGTGGAGAGAATATGTACACAGTGTAAATTATGTGATTTATTACAAGCCCTATAACTAATTTGTTATTTTTGTTGCATTTCATATTACATGACTGTACTTTTGTCAACAACAAAAAATATGAAAAAAAAACACCTTGTCACAATCTAAACCCTACTAACACGGGGGTTTTTCTAAAGAAAAAAATGCAAGAGGGAGCACTGTAATTCAGTGGCGCTACCAAGTGGGGGAGATAGGGTTCTCCCTACCAGGGTGTGGAGTTTTTGATGGAGCATTCTATGGCTTCCTTCGGGCCAAAATTACTATCAGATGGGTCACAGTTGAAGACTGTGGCCACATGTGATCCCTGGTCAATCAGAATTTTATGGTTGCCAAAGTATCAGCTCCCCAGGGTAAGGGGGCGCATGGCCATGGCATGAGGGTGCTGCGCCCGTGTACCCTTGTTTTAAAAAATCCCTGCTAACAGATATTTAATAGTAATTGTATCAATTTCCTTTTTATAGCAAATGTTGACATTTCACATGTTAACATGGCATTGAGATACCCTTACTTCGTCAATATTTCCCATCATCAAATGTTATTAAACATTAAAAATTTGTTGTATCGCATGCCATGATTTTACAACAATTCATATAAACGCAAGGTGTATTGCAAAATTAAATCTGTGCAAACATAAAACACAATGTGTTGGTAATGATGACCCTTCAACAACACTTTCTGAAAATATTGACACTGACTAGCACTTACCTTCAGTATAGGAGGAATGATACTACTAACATAAGGAAGAAAGCGATCACCAAATGCAAGCGGTAGATAGATAAACATCATAATATAACCATCACGAATATGAGATGCTATATCATCTCTGCTGGCGGTTTCTATGATTTCAGGCATCAGTTTCTGTAATTTTTCAATTCCAAGACCAGAGACAACTTCACTCAAACCTACAAGAGAACATTGATACAGGCAAATTCATTTTACTTGCATACTGCCCTCTAGAGTTGTGTAATTAGAACACTGCCATTCTAGAGTTGTGTAATTAGAACACTGCCCTCTAGAGTTGTGTAATTAGAACACTCTCACATCTGATATTTCAGTTCGCCAAAAATTCCTTTTTTTTCATTACACACTTTACTGACTGACTCAATAGATTGCAAAAATAAATTTAGTTTCACGCTTGTTCGGAGAAAACTGGTCATCCAAAATATTTACAGGGTGCTCTTTGGACGGATATAGCTGGAAGTGAGCAATGCCACAAACATTTTCTCGTATTTCAGAATTGATCAACCCATCAAAAATAGAATATTTAAGACTTCGATGAGAACCCTATAAAGTTGCCTTAGTAGTGAAACAATATAGCTAGCATGTGTTTTGGGACATCCTTCAGAGTCTGTGCCACATTTACCCAAAGTATGGATCAATCCCAATGTTTCTGACACGGGAAGTTTGACCCAATTTACCTTGTGCCGCTCCTGATCTATCAACAGAACTGCTTTCTGATCTCAGTTTTTCCATCAGCCAAGGTAACAGTTCATCGTATCCACTATCACCCATACCCTTAATAATAGCACCAAGGGCACGAGCAGACACACTACGAACCTGAAATATCACAAAGCATGTTATCTTTGACAGAGTAAATGGGAGAAACAAGTTCTAATGCTAGTTGATAAACTAGGGAATAAATAATATACATATTGTATATTTCTTCTGACATTTTGATCAATATTTGTAACCAATGGAAATTTTTGTCTATTTGGATTAAATGAAAAATACATAAAAATGATTAAAATATGTACTAATTTGTAGGAAACTATACTTTTCTTAAAAGTAGTTTTGAAAGTATTTTTACCTCAGGTACAGGGTCCAATAATGATGCCTTAAGTCCAGGAACAACAGATGGCAGGTATGGTGCAAGATCCTATGATAGATGACAGAAGAAATCATTTCAATATTATGCACAGAGTAGTCAATGTAGGATGTCTTTATATGTCAGTTAGAATTTTGGTTCAAACCAAATCATAAAAAAAAAAATCTATATTTATCACAATTAAAATGTGAAATTGTTGAAAAAACATGAAATACAGTTATTTTCATTGCATACCTAGTATGCTAACAATTTATGAATGATTCGATGCACCATATTGATGTGGCTAATATGATTTGGTTTGATATTGGTGCATTTTAAGTACTAAATGGCCACCAGTAGGCCATTTTGGGTTGGATCATGAAGTACCCGGTGCACTCCTGTCACTGTAATGTTCAGTCTATGTGAAAGATTACACACAAAAAATGGTTTCATATCTTCGGGATTTCAATTGAAATTCACACTGGTGGCTTATTCCTAATGATATAAATTTACTTTTTTTATTGGAGATGTACCTGTTCTCCCTTACCTTAGGATCCGTCAGAGAATACATATTACCAATAATCTGAGCTGCCATTTTCTTTGTTTCAGTTGATCTATCCTGGAATGCTCTTTGTACAACAGGCATGATGAGTGCTAGTGATGGGGCATCAATGAAATGTACAAACTTGGTGTCCAGAAGTATTTGTAAACACTTCGCTGTCTTCCTTGCAGGGTCACTGATTGCATCAAGTAAGACAGGAACAATAGCTATAGAAGACAATAATTAAATTACCCATAATACTCTTGTTGCTAGGTTACTATGTGTATGACAGACTGTTTATAAATCTACCTTCTTTCTGTTGCAGGCGTACTCTCAGGAATGTCGCAAAAAGAAAACACGAAACTCCCCTATCGCACAATCAAGTGAAAAGAATTTTCTCAGTGAAAATAAATAAGTGTACAGTTTGTAATGTATTTTACTATGCAAGTTGATTCAACAACATCGCTCTCTATATTATTTGGTAACTATGCTATTTTTAGATTATGCAAATAAGCTGTCAAATACAAATTCAATTTTTGGCTTATATTTTAGATGCACTTCTAATAGAGAGTAAATAAGTAATATGGGAATTATACTTTACATAAAGATTACTTTGTTTTCTTGAGTTTACCTGACACATTTCATATATTCTGAATTTTTTTTTAATAAACTTGAAAAATAAAATAAACTAATATACCTTGAATTTCAGGATTTTTGATGACAGATCCAATCTGTTTGAGTGCCTGTTGTCCAGCTTTTTGTACTTTAACATGTGAATCAGTTAATACCGTGGTGAGTTTGGGAACAATAGTTGGAAGACAAGATGACAGTTGTTTGGGTGCACAAAACGCCATGGCTCCAAGTAATTCAACAGAACCTGAAAATATGACAAAGTTGATGGAAACATGGTGTGAGAAAAACACATTTATAACATGTACTGCATTGCATGTAATAATGACAAGTTTAACCCTTTGAATGTCAACGGTCAACTTTTGTCACCATTCACAAAACAAAATGTTACATTTTTCAGATTTTTTCCAAAATTTTATCAACACCTGTAGCTAATAGGAAATTATGTCCATTTGATCTAAAATTATCTCAAATATTATAATAGAAAATTACTTAAAATAGGCAAAATGTTGTACCATAATTTTGGTTTGTAAACTATGGCACTCAAAGAGTTGAGACAATATGCTAAGCACACCAAGCCTGCTTCTGGAGTCAGTTGATGACTGTAAATATGATAAATACTGGCAAAGATGACAGCTATTATGGCGACAAATTTCTATGTACAAGAGGAGATCTTTACCTGCTTTGGTCCGCCATGATTCTTCCTCTAATGCAGCAAGTAATGATGGTAAAACTAATTTCACACCATGGGCACTCAACTTACTCATTACAGCTTTGGAAGTTTCATCAGTGGCCTGTTAATATAAAGAAATGATTTACAATCAACATAAAGAGTGTAAGAAATAGTCGCTTTCAGAGATGACTCACAAACACAAATCAAAGAAATTAAATTCAGTTATTATCAATAAAGTTTTACCATTTGCTTTATATTTATCACAATAATTATGAACCAAATAGCATTTGTTATGTTCAAATATCGCTGATACTCTTTATGAGTATAGCAAATACAAAATGGAGAAGCCAAAGCCCCTGGCTGAGGTTCATTCTGTAATAAATGTGACTTTTGGCAATCCTTTGTGAAAGTCCACAGATGCTGGTATGCTACCAGGCATGATGAATGGAAAGATATTGCGTTATTTGCCTATTCCCATTAAATATTTTCTGAAAGCTACAAAAGCCACTTACCTCTCTGACATACGCATTATTATCACCAAAACAGAGAAGTAGATTTGGTAAAACATGTACAACATACGGTTCAAACAATCTTCCAAGCATGATACATAACATTTCAAATGCAAACAATGCACCTAAGAAAAAAAAATAACAGGATGAATTTGTGTGATTTATACCACAGAAGTCAGCTAGTCTTGAATACAGGGAGTATTTATGGTAAACAAGCCATGCATGGCACAGTCCTCGTTAGTTATCAAATTTAAGATATATAGTTTTGTTTAGTAATATAGCTGGAATATAACCATGTCAGGAATATGATTTTTTAACATTAAAATGATTGACATTTGTATCTGATTGTCAAACAAGTACTTGTCCATATTGAGAGATATTGCTCTGGAACAGCATTCAAAATCAGCCATTTTGAATACATGTATATATATATGTATAACATGATGTATTGCTTTCAAATGATAGCATAACACTATCAGATGCATGCTACACAACAATAAGAAAGTTTTCTTCCACTTTCATAGTCTTCATTAGTAATATTTATGGTTGCACATTGTGACCAAATATGGTGAATGCATTTACTTACCCTCCCTATGTCTGAAGTTTTTCTTATCTTGAATCGCCACTGACAATTTAGGCATGATTTCTAGTTGTTTTAAGGACAGTATTCCAAGTCCTTTCACCAAACCAGCTAAACCATAAGCTGCACCTTTTCGTTCACCATAATTTTCTGATTCAAGCAGTAGTTGTAAAAGTTTCTGCACAAGTCCAGGTGCATCTTCCTTGATAGCAGGAACCAATGGCGGAAGACAGTTAGCTACAGCTTCTTGAACCTACAAATACCAAATGTTCTAATAAAGTTTATACTTTGAGTTATATGTACCTTTCACTGATTGTGATCATAGTGAAAAATGATAAAATCAGTTAGTTGGAATTCTGAAATTGTTGTAATCATTGTAAGTAATTTCAGGATTGGATGAGATTTCTCATGAACTGCACAAAAATAAAGACACCTGTGATGTTACAGGGGTCAGTGAAAGGTCATACAAAGTGGGAATGTAAATTTAAAACCATTTCTTTACATTCTCATCAGATCTATTGATAGGGGCCAAAGATATGAATTTATATATTTCCCTGCTCACCTGTTGAGATGGTGTTGATAAGGCTGCAATCAGCTTGGCAACAATTGGCTTGACTTTGGGGTTGTCTTTGTCAAGATGTCTAGCCAAGGAACCCATTAGAATGACTACAGACTGTCTTACTGCATCATAGATATGTGAGTTTGGTGCTTCGTCCATAAATGTCTCAAACACTGGGAGTAGACTACCAACATTATCCTACAAAAAAAAAAGAAAGAAAAAAAAAAAAGAAATATAAATATTACCCATCATGCAACATCCAATATAACTGAGCATGTGATTAAGCAGCGAATGAGATTAAATCTCAACTCTCCTGATTTTTGCGCCATTATTTTTTCCCACCTAGATTTTGCCTGTTTTTACTATTTTACGTTAATTTTTTAAATAATTTTAGACCAAATGGCTATTTGCCATAAAAGTATGTGATTTTATTTTATGAATTTATAAAAGTTTGACTTTGGTTCTGGTAGCATGAATATCAATACCACTTGAATGATTAGTCAGATTTGATCATTTTAACCATTCTAGGGGGTCCTGTCACATAAAAAATGCAGAGCCTTGAAAGTCACTTAATGCGTTCGTGAAACAAAACAACATAAAGCTTTATTTTACCTTTCCATGTACATTGATAGCAGCAAGAGAGGCATCCAACATTTTTTTTCGCACTTCTTCATTTTTGTCCCCCAAGGCACCAGGTACAAAAAAGTCAAATAGTGGAGTAATTTCATCTTGCGATAGATGTGGAGACATCTTCTTTATAGACAGCGCAATACCACAGCGTGCATGGAACTGGTCTGGTGGGGATTCTGACACAACTCTACCAAGGCTGTCAATCACTGGAGGTGGTACCTGCAATGGAAAAGGGTTATCATTATTTGCCTGCTCGTATACTAACAAGGTAAATTGTACAAATACAATGAAGACAAAAAATAGGCATATAGCGAAGACTAATATATTGATATGATAGTATATCTATATCAATGTGGTACTATATCAGTGTTCTCCACAAATAAAATTTAAAGAGGGGCGGTAATTTGCATATAATTAGCATATTTAATTTGCATATAATTAGCATACTAATCAAACATTTCAAAGGAAATTCTTAGCACTTTTATATTTACATCAATTAAATACTGTGTACAAGTACTATATTAATGTTCTTGAATTATTTTGATGAATAAGTTAAACCACTTGATGTAAAAAAAATATCAACTTTGACAAATGAAGAATATCAATTTTATTCTTTGTAAAAGTGTAATGGAACAAGTTGTGAAATTCTAGCCTTTCATTTATTTCTTTTAAATTTCTTTCTAATATTTCCATTTTTATAGGTTTTATAAATGCACTGAGATATTTTAATAGTTGAAAACCCCAAGTAATAAGAAGAAAAATATTTTCACATAACAAAATTATCATTTAAAAGAAAAAGAAAAAATCGAATCCGATGACTGTAAATAAATTAATCATTATGTTGATTGCATTGTGGGTACTGAGGACAAAG